GACATTCAAGAAGATATTTAATTTGTTCAGCTTTTAACCCTGATTTTTCCTTTAAAGACCATTTTACCGCTCTTAAAGCATCAGCATGTCTAATATTTGTATATAATGCATTAACATCTACACTTGCCATGACACAATTACCTTCTATTCTTACTTGTTTTAAAACTGAAATTAAATCACCACTATCCTTCAAATACGATGGAAAGACCGAAACTATAGGCTGTAGGAATTTATCCACATACTCCCCCAGCCTAGAGAAAAGCGAATCGATCCCATTTATTATGGGTCTTCCCGGTGGTTTCATTAAGTTCTTATGAATCTTAGGCAATTGGTATATGACTGGAGTAACAGGTGCTTTCGGTACTAAATATTTTACCTCTCTCTTATTACTCTTATTACAGGTACCGAAAGCACCTGTTTACTCCAGTCATATACCAATTGCCTAAGATTCATAAGAACTTAATGAAACCACCGGGAAAAAAGACCCATAATAAATGGGATCGATTCGCTTTTCTCTAGGCTGGGGGAGTATGTGGATAAATTCCTACAGCCTATAGTTTCGGTCTTTCCATCGTATTTGAAGGATAGTGGTGATTTAATTTCAGTTTTAAAACAAGTAAGAATAGAAGGTAATTGTGTCATCAAGTGTAGATGTTAATGCATTATATACAAATATTAGACATGCTGATGCTTTAAGAGCGGTAAAATGGTCTTTAAAGGAAAAATCAGGGTTAAAAGCTGAACAAATTAAATATCTTCTTGAATGTCTGGATTTAGCAATGTCGAATAACTATTTTTGGCATTTGAATAGTTATTATAGACAGTGCACCGGGGTGGCAATGGGAGCGAAGTACGCTCCATCAGTAGCTAATCTTTTTATGAGTATGTGGGAAGATAAAGCAATTTTTGAAAAGAAGAATCATAAGTTATTGCTCTATAAAAGATTTATAGACGATATAGTAATAATCTGGAAGGGTACTAAGGAGGAACTAGAGGATTACATTCATGAAATGGGGTGTAATCCTTATAATATATCCTTTACAAACTATATTAGTACAGAAGCGATTAACTTCTTGGACTTAACCATCTACAAACAAGGAGTTTTTTTTATACCAAGACTCATTTCAAAGAAGTCGATAGAAATGCATACATCCCCACACATAGTTGCCACCACAGGAATTGGCTAAGATCCATCCCTAAAAGCCAATTGATAAGACTGAAACGTAATTGTGATGATAAGGAGATCTTTCATAAGCAAGCAGATACTCTGTTAGAGAGATTTAGGGAGAAAGGTTATTAAAGAGGAGATATTAACAGGTGCAGTTAACCAGGTAAGTAAAATCAGAAGAGAAGATTTGTTAAATAAAACTAAGAAAGAAAATAGAAGAGGGGGAACTATCCTTTATTATAACAGGGTATTCAAATCAGCATAAGGCTTTTGAAAATATAGTACGAAAACATTGGCAGGTTTTAAAAAGGGATGAGGTTCTTCATGACCTATTACCGAAGAAACCTTTATTTGTTTATAGAAAACCACCTACACTTAGATTAAAATTAGCAAAAAATGTTCCAGATATTCCAAAGAAAAAGGCGACTTTTCTTGATAGTGTGGGGTTTTTTAAATGTAAAAGATGTTTGGTATGTAAAACAATGAAAGGAGATAATATCAGAAGGTATGATACGTTTTACTCTTGTTCAAATGGTTCCTCTTACAAGATAAAAAACTTTATATCATGTGATAGCTCGTTTGTTACCTATTTGTTAGAATGTCCATGTCATCTTCAATACGTAGGGAGAACATCGAGAAAACTGTCAGTGAGACTAGGGGAACATATTAGAAATATTAAAAAAGGTTATAAGTATCATAGTCTTTCCCACCATTTTAGAATTTATCATAAATAGGGATCCATCTTGTTTGAAATTCTGTGGGATTGATTGAGTTTTAGCACCTTGGAGGGGAGGAGATAGGGTCAAGTCCATCTCACAGAATGAAACGAGGTGGATCCTAAAATTGGGTTCCTTGTCGCCCAGGGGGTTGAACTCAGATATAGATATCAACTGTTTCCTGTCAGATTGGTAAGAGTAGAGGAGTTAGTGTTTAAAAACTATTTTATATTTTTATATTTTTATTACTTTTTTATTATTATTTTTATTTATATTTTATTTTATTATTATTTTTATTTTTATTTTCATTTTTATTTTTATTTATTTTTATTTTTATTTTCATTTTTATTTTAATTTATTTTATTTTGTAATTTGTTTTTAGATAGATATACATTTGTTAATATGAATTATATTAAATTATAAAGATATTGTTTTTATTTGAATTGTTTATATCAATTGTTAGAATTCATGTTGTTGTTATGTGGATTGGCATCTTGTAAAGGTCTCTCACGTCTTGTAGTGGGAGGAGCAGCCTCTGAAATTATCCTGGGAGGTGGTCTGACCAATTAAATCGGAGGGGAGGGTATTACATTGATATTTAAGTGAGTGAGGACGGGAGATGGGTGTCTTGATAACGCCCTATGGGAGGGGCGAAACGCGTTGACGCATTTCCGGTCCACACTCCATGCGCCTGACGTCATTTCCGGTGAGTGGAACGCACGCTGAGCGGTGCGTTCCAGCGGCCATCTTGGTTCACTGTTTGGTCTAAGAGGAGTTCTGTCTTTGTTCCATTGTGGATGTGAGAGTCCTGGAAGGAAAAGTTTGTATATCTGCTGGAACTGAAGCCTGTTATACATAATAAACATGCCTTTAGCAAGTGTTTAACATGTGAGTGGCCTTAATCTCCATTTGGTAAAAGTTACTATTGTGTGACAATATTATGCTATGTGAGTTTTTTTCTTTTGGTTGGATGGTGGAGTCTATTCGGAGGGTGAAGATTTTCCCTAGCGTGGCACCAAAGGGTTTAGGATCCCTAAAAATTCCCTAAAAGGTCTTTTACTCACCAAGTTCTGGTGAGTGTATTCGATGTTGGTGTGTGCACTGGTGGAAGGTGAAAGTATTTTCTGAAGAAAAGAAGTTGGCACTTTTATTTTTATTTTTATTTGCATTTTTACTTCTACAATTCAATTATGTCTTTAGCACATGGACTTTTGGGTGTTTTTGTTTTAATATTAAGGGGAAACACGAATAATTTATGCACTTATTTTATATGATTTATTATATTGATTAATGATCTAAATTTGCGCTGTTTTTTTATATTTATATTTATGCTGGAAAATATAGGTTAAAAAACGTTTGCATTCACGAACGCACTGAAAAGTGGTAAATTATTAACTATTTCAGACTGTTTCAGAGAAATACAGAGAGTAGAAGCAGAGATGGCAGTATGTGTTGAGATAATTAGGTGTGAGTTGCTCATTAACATTTATTTTGTTTCCAAGGGTGGGAAAGGTGTCTGGTGGAGGGAGTCACTAAGGCCACCTGGCAGGGGGTCTTCATGAGGAATTTGAGGTGTGAATGGTCATTAACATATCTTTTGTTTCCAAGGGTGGGAGAGGTCTGAGGTGTGAAAGGTTATTAACATATCTTTTGTTTCCAAAGGTGGGAGAGGTCTAAGGTGTGAATGGTCATTAACATATCTTTTGTTTCCAAAGGTGGGAGAGGTCTGAGGTGTGAATTGGTCATTAACATTTCTTTTGTTTCCAAGGGTGGGAAAGGTGTCTGGTGGAGGGAGTCACTAAGGCCACCTGGTAGGGGGTCTTCATGAGGAATTTGAGGTGTGAATGGTCATTAACATATCTTTTGTTTCCAAAGGTGGGAGAGGTCTGAGGTGTGAATGGTCCTTAACATATCTTTTGTTTCCAAAGGTGGGAGAGGTCTACGGTGTGAATTGGTCATTACAATGTGTGACAAGCTTGGTAGGAACATCCTGTGTTCAGTGTTTTGTCTATTTGAGTACCTTGAAAACGCTTTGCAAGCATTTTTCATGATGAAAAAAGGCTCTGGACAGCATCGGGAACTGGAAGAGTTAAAAAAAAAAATTCAAACACAAACGCTTATAAACGCAATTTGCTGCGTTTAGCCGCATTTACAAGCGTTTTGCTTTTGAAACGCTGATAAAATCGACTGCTGAACGCAAGTTTTCTGTATTCAAAAAAATTACTGTAAACTCAACTGCCTGTAAACGGCTGTAAACGAAGAAGATGTGTACATGGACACATAGAGAACATTAGGGGGAGTTCAGGGGCTGAAAAAAATGCTGAACAGCTCCTGAACGTGAGTTTATCAGCTGCAGTGTACATGGGGCCTTAAAGTTGACCTCCAGCCTTCCCTTCAGTCTTGCACAGTTGTACCGGCCCCTCTACAGGACTAAGGCTGGCCATACATTATACAATTTTCTAGAGCATTTTGCTTAAGACTTACAAAAAAACATACAATATGAGGTCAAACCTAAACAACACTTTCAATTGTATCCAATTAGGCAGGCCCTTGCACTACACTGTTGAAGGTAAACCGAAAAGAAATTGGGCAGACATTGGACAGAAAATTGTATAGTGTATGGCCAGCCTAAGATTGCTTACTCTGATTTCACTGCACACTGTGAGCTTCTCACAATGTGCATTAGAAGCTTCGGCAAGTCAGGCAGAGCACGCTTCATTTTCTGGTTGAAGAATTTCCAGTATCATCTAGCTCCTTCCTCTTCAGCCTGGTGGTCCTAGGCCCTCCCCTTTTATTCAATGGATTTGATTTCATTCAATTATTCAGGCTCAGCTTCACATGTGGGTGTTACCTAGGATGGTCTACATGAAAATACAGCCTGCTTAGGAAAGCTCATTCCTCCAGACTGACACCCACCAATCAGTAACATATTAGGTCACACACTTCCCCTTCCTTCCTCTGCTGAGGGGTGTGGCTGTTTACTCTGCTCTGCCAGAACAGAACACTTCAGGGTGAGAGCAGCAAGCAGTACTTTCTTTCAGAGAAAAAGGTATTTTACGGCATTTCCTAGAATCAGCACAGCATGCAGAATATGGGGCCTACCTTTACCTACATACCTGCAGTGTACAATGACAGGTCCGACATCATAATCTGCCTTCTGCCTGGCCTCCTCCACATCCTGCACCAGTTTCAAGAGAGGTGGAGCCTGATCTGGTGTCTTCTGATCTGGCCATGAGGTGTACCAGAAATGCTTTAGGGTCCGTTCTTCCTCACCACTCTAGGCCAATGGCAATAATAAAAGATGTTACATTTTGGTAAAGAGCATCACAAAAATAACATATGTAACCTAACCTTACATGCAGAGGCGGACTGACCATTTGGAAACTCGGGCACTACCCGAGGGCCCGGGGTCAGTAGGGGGCCCCATGAGATGCCCCTGGTACCTTTTTCATAAGCTTTTTTGAGTGTGGGCAAGGAGACAGGGGCCCCATGATCCCCTATTGCCCGGGGGCCCCATGAGTTGTCAGTCCGCCCCTGCTTACATGTGTTGTGGTAATATTTCCTTTTCCTTTACACTTTGTTCTTGTCACCTTAGATTATACTGCCTATGTAGGACAATTAGATTCTCTTTGTGTTTTAATAACTCCCTCTTTTCCAGACTAGTGAGGAAATCTAATGGATATAAGCTGGTGCTGAACCGGGGAAGGTTGAAAATTTTATTCATTTGTATAGAGAGGTGGTCTTCTTTTGAGGAGACCACCCTGCAGTGGAGGTTCAATGTATAGACACCTGCTTTAAGTCTTTAACTGCTACCTCTTTGGCACTGGTAAGTGCACCATACAACATGTAAGGAGGTGCTTACAAGTGCTGCTACTGTTTGACAGGGATTCTAGGATGTGCAGGATGGGGTTAACTCAGGTTCTGCAATTTCCCCGGGTTTTCTGGACTTTACCATGTTCCCTGTGTTGCATATATATATATATATATATATATATATATATATAGAGGAAAGGCTCTGCTCAGGGAGCCGTCCATGTGGCCGCATGGGAAGAGAAACAAGAGGCCCGCCATAAGGATGTAACCAAGAGCAACCCAGAAACACCCTCCAAGGGAATCTACCTACTAAGGACTCTCCCATACATGGAATTCTTCCTGGAAAGGTATACCTGGGCAGCCTGGGAGTGGCTAGTCAGAGTGGGACTGATAGGAGGAAGGCTCTGCTCAGGGAGTTATCCGGTGCTTGCAGTGGTTGCATGGGAAAAGAAACAAGAAGCCCGGCTTAAGGATGTAACCAAGAGCAACCCGGAAACACCCTCCAAGGGAAACTACCTACTAAGGACTCTCCCATACGTGGAATACTATCTGGAAAGGTATACCTGGGCAGCCTGGGAGTGGGTAGTCAGAGTGGGACTGATAGGGGGAAGGCTCTGCATAGGGAGCCGTCTGTGTCGCCGCATGGGAAGAGAAACAAGAGGCCAGCCATAAGGATGTAACCAAGAGCAACCCAAAAACACCCTCCAAGGGATTCTACCTACTAACGACTCTCCCATACATGGAATACTACCTGGAAAGGTATACCTGGGCAGCCTGGGAGTGGCTAGTCAGAGTGGGACTGATAGGGGGAAGGCTCTGCTTAGGGAGCCGTCTGTGTCACAGCATGGGAAGAGAAACAAGAGGCCCACCATAAGGATGTAACCAAGAGCAACCAGAAACACCCTCCAAGGGAATCTACCTACTAAGGACTCTCCCATACATGGAATACTACCTGGAAAGGTATATACCTGGGCAGCCTGGGAGTGGCTAGTCAGAGTGGGACTGATAGGGGGGAAGGCTCTGCTGAGGGAGCCAGCCATCCGTGTGGCCGCATGGGAAGAGAAACAAGAGGCCCGCCATAAAGATGTAACCAAGAGCAACCCAGAAACACCCTCCAAGGGAATCTACCTACTAAGGACTCTCCCATACATGGAATACTACCTGGAAAAGTATACCTGGGCAGCCTGGGAGTGGCTAGTCAGAGTGGGACTGATAGGAGGAAGGCTCTGCTCAGGGAGCCATCCGGGTGGTTGCATGGGAAAAGAAACAAGAAGCCTGGCTTAAGGATGTAACCAAGGGCAACCCGGAAACACCCTCCAAGGGAAACTACCTACTAAGGGCTCTCTCATACATGGAATACTACCTGGAAAGGTATACTTGGGCAGCCTGGGAGTGGCTAGTCAGAGTGGGACTGATAGGGGGGAAGGCTCTGCTCAGGGAGACATCCAATTGGCCACATGGGAAGAGGAACAAGAGGCCCGCCATAAGGATGTAAGAAAGAGCAATCCAAAAGCACCCTCCAAGAGGATCTACCTACTAAGGACTCTCTCCATACATGGATTACTACCTGGAAAGGTATACCTGAGCAGTTTGGGAGTAGCTAGTCAGAGTGGGACTGATGTGCACCTTGGACTGTAATGTTGCAGTATTTCAGTAATGTCGTTAATCATTTAAATGCATGGTCTGAAGTCACTACAAAGGGGTGCATGGTGGTACATGGCATATGCAGAGCCTGTTGCACACATACACACATGAGGTGACGTGGAGAACATGCCATTGCTAAGGGAAACCAGCCCCAAGAGAATGTTATGAGTACAGTACTGGCAGGGGTGATGGATCTTCTGCATAGCGAGGGAAGCACTTTCCTGCCTCCCTCCCCAGCGGCCAGAGCCCCAGTGGACCGGGACCAAATCTATGCGGCGGAGGCCTTAGGGGTCTAGCTGCAGGTACAGGAGGAGTTATACAGAACAAGTTGTGTATGCAAGAGGGTTCATTCAAGTACAAGGAAAACCACAGGCTATCACTGGGCGTGAGGTGATAGGGAAGCTAGACTCAGGACATAGGCTCCACGGTGTCACCTTCCATAAATGTCACATTCCATACAGGCAGGGGCGGACTGACCATTTGGAAACTCGGCAACTGCCCGAGGGCCCGGGGTCAGTAGGGGGCCCCATGAGATGCCCCTGGTACCTTTTTCATAGGTTTTTTTGAGCTTGGGCAAGGACACAGGGGCCCCATGATCCCCTATTGCCCGGGGGCCCCATGAGTTGTCAGTCCGCCCCTGCATACAGGTGTATCTATCATGGGACAGTGTGGCTCTCTTAGCAGGGCCTCACATTGTGATACAGTTGTGCTGGGTGTATGGCTCACTTCTAACTCAGTGTGCCTCTTTAATGTCGAATTCACATGAACTGGACCCTCCTTGTCCAGGGTATTAGTGAGTGCATAAGCCAGAGAAGGAGGAGAGAAAGAAAAGACCCTGTGTGAGTTGACCTCGCCCACAACTAGATAATCCATTTTAAAGCACAGAACTAGGAACGCCAAGCAAGAATGTTCATGTAACTTGATTAGTTAGTATAAAGTATTTATTAAGAATACCGTGTTTCAGGAAAAAAAGGACATTCCCTTTGTGTAGGGTTTATGGAGTATAATGAAAACCAGACAATGTTCATTAATTCTCCTGTTTTGGGGTTAAATGAAACTGAGGTATCAATGTATCTTTGTGGAGGAGAGTATGGATGACTAGGGCTGCCATGTCCTTCTCCAAGAGGATACGCTGACACCCCAGTCTAATGAACACCTTCCAATTTTACATACACTCCATAGATTTGAAGGCATGAAAAAGGGGGAGGCTTTCGCAACCAAAGCGGGTTGGCACTACACTAATCTTCAAGCCACGTGACTGTTCTAGGCACCCTAGACTCAAAAGACAGACTTTCAGGCAGCCTAATGCCATCAAGAAAAAATACAGCATACTTCCAGGTACATGGGTGGGAAGAGTCCTCAGCAACTTGGGGCTTATATAGGATTTCTTCTCTTGTCTTCTGGTGGCCTAACCTCTAGTGAGGGAGTCAAGGGAATATGAATAGGTGTATGCCATAAAAGTAATCCTGTTTTTGCCTTGCAAAAGTAGCGAAAGTGCTATTTCCAAACACTAGTGGAGAGAATTTGCAGAAGAAGCCACCACTGATAAATTGACTCATCCTATCAAATATTACTTCTCTTCTTTTTTCTGGCTTTGTTGACCTCTCTTGATGTTGTCCTACCCAATGCGTTTTCCTCACCTTTAAAGTCATGATTCTTAGTACATAGTCATCTTCTGGGATGATGTCTTTCACTATCACTTCTATTCCTTCATATATAGCCTGTTTCTCTGGCCAGTATTCTGTACATTTCTAGGGGAGATGGCACAAAATAGAAGACAATAGGTCAGCAGCCAATGCAGAAATATAAAAGTTGGTTGACAAGATTCTAGGAAACAATTTTAGCTGTTGGGTTCATTTACCTTTTTACTCCTGAAACTAAGGCTAAGCCAAGGTTGAAGACACCAGGATGCTAGGTAGAGGATTACATAACTAGCCAAAAGGCTGTCCAGCAGAATTTGTTCTGCACTCAACAACACAAAAAAATCCTCCGTTGCCCACCAGACCCATCACCGGCGACCCGCCACCTCACACCGTGGGCCCCTGTGACCCCTCCTGGAGATAGACTGACCATAACAGTGGCTCATGGCTGCTTCCACAGCTCCCATCACTCCGCTCTGCCCAGCTCCGGAATCCAGGAGAACCGGCATCCCTTTTTAAGGGGGTCGGCCCCCCTGGAAAATGCCACCCAAGGCCTTGCAGTAAGTACTCCCTTGCTATTCAGACCAGTATAACTATGGCCTAACAAGAAGAAATGAAACCATTGTGTTTATTTTACCCAGCTCAAATGTGTACCTTTGGGAGACCATAAAGATATTGGAGCCAAAGTGTATGGACATCCTCATTCCACTTAATAGAGCATTAGTCCCAATTGAGAATATAGTGTTCAGTTTTGGAGACCTAACTTACAAAGTGATATTGATAAGATAGAGTGAGTCCAGAAACAAGCAACAAAGATAGTGCAGGAAGTATTCCTGTATTCCATTCCCCCAGCCCCAGAGTGCAGCCCACCTGAGATAATAGTTAGCGGTAGTTAGTCACACCGAGATGAACTTATTCTAAAATGTTGAAGACATTTTCTAGTCTCTACAAGCCACTTTAGTTCCAAGAAATGACTTGAAGAAGCTACGAAGTGTAATCAACTTTACAGAACAAGTCCAGTTGTGACTACTACTAGCCATACCATGACCTGGATAAATGAGAAGGTTCCTCCAATAAGTTCCTGGCTGATTCCACTTCATACTACACATGTGCACCTAGACCCGATTCATTCCTAAGGGAAAGCAGCACTTATGGAGGCCTAAAGCAGTTCCTTTAGAGTAATATAAGTAGTTGAATTATCATGGTGCTCAAATAGCTAAATAACCAAATAAAAATAAGTGTTTGCACGCATTGAGCCAGGCAAAAAGAAGTAAAAGATGCCCCTAAAAAGTGAAATGCACTTGACCAAATGAATACGTGAATAGGTAGGCGCTATAATGATTGTGTATCAAAAGATAAAAACATATGAATAATACAGTGGACTCTCAATATCATCTATCAAGTGATGTTCCTATACAGAAAACAATATATAGTGAACATTATAATGACAGTCCCATGAAGATGTAAACCCGTAGACCAAAAAAAATGTGCTCTTTTTACCACGTGCAGACAATAGGTGAATTGCTTACTCACCAGAAAAGATTGACCCCGGTTAAGGCGGTCAGATACACTTTGTTATCATAAGTGTTGATGACCAGCAACAGGCTCTCCTGGATCAGACCTCCCAGTCTCCTAATAGGGGATATGGATCCATTTAGGCGCAGACCATCTCTAGTATATAGGTTGCACCCCAATGAAAGTCAGCCCAGTGCTCTAGAAACTCAAATCCTTCCCTCTTAGGTCTTCAGCCATTCATTGAATCCTCTAACCTCCCCGTCTCTCCTGAGTTGCGCATGGCACAGGTAATATTTCAGAGAATATCACCTTGGAGGTCCTTTCCCTTCAACTCGCAGCCTAGTTCTTTAAATTGAGTCTTAAGGAGCCTCTACTTTCCATGTATTCTGTCATTGGTACCAACATGAACCAAGACAGCTGGGTCATGCCCAACCCGTCCCAGTAATTTATCAACCTGGTCCACCACATGCCGAACCCTGGCACCAGGGAGACAGCAAACCATTCAGTTGAGGTGATCCTGGTGACAAATTATTCTATCAGTCTTTCTGATCATTGAATCCCCTACTACCACCATCTGTCTAGGCCTTCCTGCACTACCCGCATCACCCCTCCCAGATGGTCTGCCCTCCCGGCTGTTAGGGATAGCAGTTGCATGTATTCGCTTTTACACTGGAAGTTGGTGGTCAGTGTGGCTTCCCTTTATCTTGATAATCACTGGTTCTAAGTTTCTGGCTGTGCCAAGTATCAATGGTATCAGAACCATACAAGAGCTGTCAGGAAGGAAAGTAATCCCCTACTGCAAGCTCCTAGCAACCTCTGGAGGAACCATAAGGGTCTATAGAACCCTGGTACAGAAAGACTGGTTTACGCTAGAAGTCAATTTATACTCATAGTTCACCACTATGGCTCACAAAATGAAATGTGGATTATCAGACGTAGAAGAAAATGAGGTACCTCATTGACTTTCTCAATGTTGGTGATCATGAAAATAATCGGGGAACATAACCGCCACACCATCTTCCAGAACTCACCAACGGTGTTCACTGTGGGTCCCTGAGTGGCAATTTAAACTTTCTGGCTGTGCCAAGTAACATTGGTGTCAAAACCACACAAGAGCTGTCAGGCAGGAAAATGATCCTCTGCTGCTCAAGGCGATCCTAGCAACCTCTAGAGCAGTGATGGCGAACCCGTGGCACGCGTGCCACAGCCGGCACGCCGAGCCTTATCTGTGGGCACGCCAGGAGAATCCAGCGGCGCGCTGTCTTCCCGGCTGTAGTGTGCGTGACAGCCGGGTCCCAAGTGCACATGCACAAGAAGCCGCCGGACCAATCACAAAGCGCAGCGCTTCTCGCGCATGCGCACTGGGCATCCGGCTGTCCGACGAGCGCCCACACTACAGAAGCCGGGAAGACAGCGCGCGGCTGGATAAAGGAACAGGTAAGATAAAAAAAAAAAACTCTGCGGAAGTAAGAGCGGGTACCTGTCAAATTCAGGTACCCGCTCCCCCTCCCTCCCCAAAGGTCAGCAGTCATCTCTGTACTGTCCGCAGTCTCTGGTCATCCCTGTGCTGTCCGCAGTCTCTGGTCATCCCTGTGCTGTCCGCAGTCTCTGGTCATCTCCTGTACTGTCCGCAGTCTCTGGTCATCCCTGTGCTGTCCGCAGTCTCTGGTCATCCCTGTGCTGTCCACAGTCTCTGGTCATCCCCTGTACTGTCCGCAGTCTCTGGTCATCTCCTGTACTGTCCGCAGTCTCTGGTCATCCCTGTGCTGTCCGCAGTCTTTGGTCATCTCCTGTACTGTGTCCGCAGTCTCTGGTCATTCCTGTACTGTGTCCGCAGTCTCTGGTCATCTCCTGTACTGTGTCCGCAGTCTCTGGTCATCCCTGTACTGTGTCCACAGTCTCTGGTCATCCCTGTACTGTGTCTGCAGTCTCTGGTCATCCCTGTACTGTCCGCAGTCACTGGTCATCTCCTGTACTGTCCGCAGTCTCTGGTCATCCCTGTACTGTCCGCAGTCTCTGGTCATCTCCTGTACTTTCCGCAGTCTCTGGTCATCTCCTGTACTGTGTCCGCAGTCTCTGGTCATCCCTGTACTGTCCGCAGTCTCTGGTCATCCCTGTACTGTGTCTGCAGTCTCTGGTCATCCCTGTACTGTCCGCAGTCTCTGGTCATCTCCTGTACTGTTCGCAGTCTCTGGTCATCTCCTGTACTGTGTCTGCAGTCTCTGGTCATCTCCTGTACTGTGTCCGCAGTCTCTGGTCATTTCCTGTACTGTCCGCAGTCTCTGGTCATCTCCTGTACTGTCCGCAGTCTCTGGTCATCCCTGTACTGTGTCCGCAGTCTCTGGTCATCCCTGTACTGTGTCTGCAGTCTCTGGTCATCTCCTGTACTGTGTCCGCAGTCTCTGGTCATCCCTGTACTGTCCGCAGTCTCTGGTCATCTCCTGTACTGTGTCTGCAGTCTCTGGTCATCCCTGTACTGTGTCTGCAGTCTCTGGTCATCCCTATACTGTGTCTGCAGTCTCTGGTCATCCCTGTACTGTGTCCGCAGTCTCTGGTCATCCCTGTACTGTCCGCAGTCTCTGGTCATCCCTGTACTGTTCGCAGTCTCTGGTCATCTCCTGTACTGTGTCCGCAGTCTCTGGTCATCTCCTGTACTGTGTCCGCAGTCTCTGGTCATCTCCTGTACTGTCCGCAGTCTCTGGTCATCCCTGTACTGTCCGCAGTCTCTGGTCATCCCTGTACTGTGTCCGCAGTCTCTGGTCATCCCTGTACTGTGTCCGCAGTCTCTGGTCATCCCTGTACTGTCCACAGTCTCTGGTCATCCCTGTACTGTGTCCACAGTCTCTGGTCATCTCCTGTACTGTCCGCAGTCTCTGGTCATCCCTGTACTGTGTCCGCAGTCTCTGGTCATCCCTGTACTGTGTCCGCAGTCTCTGGTCATCCCTGTACTGTGTCCGCAGTCTCTGGTCATCCCTGTACTGTTAATTAGTTTGCACTACTGTACGAGTTGTTTTTTCTAAACCAAAAGCTCGATATTCAGGTTTCATTGCAGTGTTGGCACTTTGAAAGAAATAAGTTGGTTTTGGGTTGCAGTTTGGGCACTCGGGCTCAAAAAGGTTCGCCATCACTGCTCTAGAGGAACCCTAAGAGTCTACAAAACCCTGAATGAGAACGGCTGGTTTACGCTAGAAGTCATTTTATGGCTCACGAAAGCGAAAAAAAACTGGATTGTCGAAAGTAGAAGAAAATACGAAAATGAGGTACCTCGTTGACTTTCTCAATGTTGGTGATCATGAAAATAATCGGGGAACATAACCGCCACACCATCTTCTTCCAGAAATCACCAACGGTGTTCACTGTGGGTCCCTGAGTGGCAATTTAAACTTTCTGGCTGTGCCAAGTAACATTGGTGTCAAAACCACACAAGAGCTGTCAGGCAGGAAAATGATCCTCTGCTGTTCAAGGCGATCCTAGCAACCTCTAGAGCAGGGGTAGGCAACCTGTGGCTCTCCAGCTGTTGCAGGACTACAAGTTCCATCATGCCTCTGCAAGTCATAGCTGTAACTGTAAGTTTTGTAATGTTGCAATGCCTCATGGGAAATGTAGTTCCACAACAGCTAGAGAGCCGCAGGTTGCCTACCCCTGCTCTAGAGGAACCCTAAGAGTCTACAAAACCCTGAATGAGAACGGCTGGTTTACGCTAGAAGTCATTTTATGGCTCACGAAAGCGAAAATAGCTGGATTGTCGAAAGTAGAAGAAAATACGAAAATGAGGCACCTCGTTGACTTTCTCAATGTTGGTGATCATGACTATAATGGGGGAATGTTCCTGCCAGACCACCTTCCAGAAATCTCCAATGGTGTTCACTGTGGGTCCCTGAGTGGCAATTTAAACTTTCTGGCTGTGCCAAGTAACATTGGTGTCGGAACCACACAACAGCTGTCAGGCAGGAAAATGATCCTCAACTGCTCAAGGTGCTCCTAGCAACCTCTTGAGGAACCCTAAGGGTCTACAGAACCCTGGATGAGAATGGCTGGTTTACACTAGAAGTCACTTTATGGCTCACAAAAGCAAAAAAAGCAGAATTATAAGTAGAAGAAAATAAGAAAATGAGGCACCTCATTGACTTCCTCGATGTTGGTGATCATGACGATAATGGGGGAACGTTCCTGCCAGACCATCTTCCAGAAATCTCCAACAGTGTTCACTGTGGGTCCCTGAGTGGCAATGTAAACCTTCTCCTCTTCGTCGTAACCCTATGACACAAAGCAGAACCATTAGTAACATTGTCCACAGCAATAAAGAGAAAGTCAAGGACCAAGAGTTCTAAAGGCAATGCTGAAAAATGCAATAACATTTGTCACCAGCAGGTGGAACATGAGATGCTTTTCATCCGGGCAGCATTGTAATAAACTCAAGGCAAACATCTAAATACATAATTATTATTATTATTATTATATAGTGTTTATATAGCGCTAAAAGGTTTGCTCAGCACTGTACATTATAGTGGGGGACAGTACATGAGATAATACAGTAACAAAACAGAACATGAGGGATTCAAGGGCCCTGCTCTTTCGAGCTTACAATCTAGGAGGGAGGGGATAGTGGTACAGGAGGAAGTGGCTGTGGGGGATGGAGTGGTGGGGATCGGCTGTTAGGTGAGTGCGGGTAGGCTTCCCTGAAGAGATGGGTTTTCAGGGAGCGCCTAAAGGTGAGGAGGGTAGGTGACAGTCTGATGGATTGGGGGAGTGAGTTCCAGAGGATGGGGGAAGTCCTGGAGAAGTCTTGCAGTCGGGCGTGGGAGGTGGAGACCAGGGAGCTAGAAAGTAGGAGGTCTTGTGAGGAGCGAAGATTACGGGTAGGGTGGTAATTATACATACGTAGCCTGCTGATCTCTGGTGCAATGCTTTACAGCAGGGGTCCTCAAACTTTTTAAACAGGGGGCCAGTTCACTGTCCCTCAGACCGTTGGAGGGCCGGACTATAGTTTAAAAAAAAAAAAACTATGAACAAATGCGGACACAGTACAGGTGATGACCAGAGACTGCGGACATAGTACAGGAGATGACCAGAGACTGCAGACACAGTACAGGAGATGACCAGAGACTGCAGACACAGTACAGGAGATGACCAGAGACTGCGGACACAGTACAGGAGATGACCAGAGACTGCGGACACAGTACAGGTGATGACCAGAGACTGCTGACATAGTACAGGAGATGACCAGAGACTGCAGACACAGTACAGGAGATGACCAGAGACTGCAGACACAATACAGGAGATGACCAGAGACTGCGGACACAGTACAGGAGATGACCAGAGACTGCGGACATAGTACAGGAGATGACCAGAGACTGCGGACATAGTACAGGAGATGACCAGAGACTGCGGACACAGTACAGGAGATGACCAGAGACTGCGGACACAGTACAGGAGATGACCAGAGACTGCGGACACAGTACAGGAGATGACCAGAGACTGCGGACACAGTACAGGAGATGACCAGAGACTGCGGACACAGTACAGGAGATGACCAGAGACTGCGGACACAGTACAGGAGATGACCAGAGACTGCGGACACAGTACAGGAGATGACCAGAGACTGCGGACACAGTACAGGAGATGACCAGAGACTGCAGACATAGTACAGGAGATGACCAGAGACTGCGGACACAGTACAGGAGATGACCAGAGACTGCGGACACAGTACAGGAGATGACCAGAGACTGCGGACACAGTACAGGAGATGACCAGAGACTGCGGACACAGTACAGGAGATGACCAGAGACTGCGGACACAGTACAGGAGATGACCAGAGACTGCGGACACAGTACAGGAGATGACCAGAGACTGCAGACACAGTACAGGAGATGACCAGAGACTGCGGACACAGTACAGGAGATGACCAGAGACTGCAGACATAGTACAGGAGATGACCAGAGACTGCAGACACAGTACAGGAGATGACCAGAGACTGCGGACATAGAACAGGAGATGACCAGAGATTGCGGACACAGTACAGGAGATGACCAGAGACTGCGGACAGTACAGGAGATGACCAGAGACTGCAGACACAGTACAGGGGATGACCAGAGACTGCGGATATAGTACAGGAGATGACCAGAGACTGCGGACACAGTACAGGAGATGACCAGAGACTGCGGACATAGTACAGGAGATGACCAGAGACTGCAGACACAGTACAGGGAATTACCAGAGACTGCGGACATACAACGGCGGTGGGAATACTGGGCCCGGCCGCTCCATAAGACGCACAGACATTTCCCCCCAAGTGTGTCTTATGGAGCGAAATATATGGTAAATGCAGGACACCTTGTTGGGTCAGATCTGTGTACAATATAAAGAGAGAGGGGGGGGGGGGAGAGATAAGGAGGGAAGAGAGAGAGAGAGGAGGGGGGGATAGAGAGAGAGGAGGGGGGGGAGAGAGAGGGGGGGGAGGGGGAGAGAGAGAGGAGGGGGGAGAGAGGAGGGGGGGGGGGAGAGAGAGGAGGGGGGCGAGAGGGGGGTGAGAGGAGGGGGGAGAGAGAGGAGGGGGGTAGGGGGGAGAGAGAGAGAGGGGGGGGGGGGAGAGAGAGGAGGGGGGAGAGAGAGAAAGGAAGGGGGGAGAGAGAGGAGGGGGGAGGGAGAGAGGAGAGAAAGGGGAGAGAGAGAGAGGAAGGGGGGGAGAGATGAGGGGGGAGGGAGAGAGGAGAGAGGGGGGACAGAGAGAGAGGGGAGGAGATCGATCATCTATTGCACTTATCTAGGGTCCGTGGCCATGATACCCGACATTCAGCAATGGAGTCTCGTCTCTTGCTCCCCTTCTTCATGGTCAGCTCTAGGCTCCGCCCTCCGGCTGGCTGCAGAGAGGCCAGGTGAGTGGTGCGGGTTCATAAGCTGAGCCCACCTTCCCCCTGTTCTAGAATTGCTGATCCCGCCCTCCTGCCTCCCGCCCGAGCCCTGCCGAGCTCTCCCGACCTGCCAAACCCTAGTCCCTTGCCTCGCAGCAGATACGCCCCTGCCCGGCGGGCCGGATAAATGTCCACGGTGGGCCGCATGTTTGAGGACCCCTGCTTTACAGGGTCCTGCAACAAAAAAAAATTATAAATGCAAATTTTTTTACCTGCAAAAAATATACATTTATTATTTTTGTCAAAAGCTGAACTTATCCTTTAACTAACACTTACAGGACTTCCCCCCAGAAAGTAACTGGACAGTGAAAGGAGGAGCAGCAGGCTGATGAGCTCATCCCTCTGTCTCTCTACTCTCTCCTGCTATTAGCAAGCCCTTTGCTAGCACACGAGCACTACAGCACGTCTGCGTGTGTGCTGCTTCTTCCTCCCTCAGTAAGAGTTCTGCTGTACAAGGACTGCAAAAGTTGATACCAGGTCAAATTATGATTGGATGAGGCAGAGAGGGAGGAGAGAGACATCACAACCTTTACTTTTTTCAAATCAGAGAATGTTTTGCACATACTGAGAAAAAGCAAAATGTTCCCCATGCCGAGTGGGCAGTCTCCTGTGTTCACAATGCAGCAGGGCTGCCCCCCCAGTACTTGATCTAGAAGCTAGCGGCAATCACTGCAGTAGTGGTGCCTAATACAGTGATTTCCAGCTGGCACTGGGATTAAGCTGGACCAATGTAACTGTGTGTGTTGCCCTCTAGGGGTGCCAGAGAGTTTCATTTAGTTTGGCTCACAGTAGTGAAGTGAGCATGTCTGTTTTGGTTACTTTCGTCCAGGCTGGAGGGCTCTCAGGTCAGGTCTCTGGTACTTCTCCCTGGTTCTGGAGTCTTCCAGAAGAATCTGGAAGTTAGTGAGCAGAGGGGTAGAGACTAAAATCCACATATTTATGGGAGTCTGACCAATCCCAGGCAGGAGGCCTGGACATGTGGCAGACAGACCCAAAAATATGAGAGAGCCTGGCCAGCAGGGATGTATTGTGATTGGGTGGAAGATGGAGTTGTGAGACTTGGGGATCACGGGGAAAGGGGGGTTCTACTTCCAGGCTGGAGCTGAGGAGGGAGAAAGAAAGAAAGGAAGAAAGAAAGAAAAGAAAGGAAAAAAAAGGAAAGAAAGGAAAGGAAAAGGAAAGGAAAGGAAAGAAAGAAAGGAAAGAAAATAAAGGAAAGAAAAAAAAAGAAAAAAAGAAAGGAAAGAAAAGAAAGAAAAGAAAGAAAAGAAAGGAAAGAAAGGAAAGAAAGAAAAGAAAGGAAAGAAAAGGAAAGGAAAAGAAAGGAAAGGAAAGGAAAGAAAAGAAAGGGAAAAAAGGAAAGGAAAGAAAGGAAAGAAAGAAAAGAAAGGAAAGAAAGAAAAGAAAGGAAAGAAAGGAAAAAAAAAGGAAAGAAAGGAAAGAAAAGAAAGGAAAGAAAAGAAAGGAAAGGAAAGAAAGGAAAGAAAAAAAGGAAAGGAAAGGAAAGAAAAAAAGGGAAAAAAGGAAAGGAAAGAAAGGAAAGAAAAGAAAAGAAAGGAAAAAAAAGGAAAGAAAGGAAAGAAAAGAAAGGAAAGAAAGGAAAGAAAATAAAGGAAAGAAAGGAAAGAAAAGAAAGGAAAGAAAAGAAAGAAAGGAAATGAAAGGAAAGAAAAGAAAGGAAAGAAAAGAAAGGAAAGAAAAGAAAGAAAAGAAAAGAAAAGAAAGGAAAGGAAAGGAAGGAAGGAAGGAAGGAAGGAAGGAAGGAAGGAAGGAAGGAAGGAAGGAAGGAAGGAAGGAAATGTAGCACCCACTAGGTGGTGCTAGTGTAAATTTATTTTTGGCTCATGGTAGTGAAAGAGCCTCAAATACTGTGGGTTCAGTTTGAAGTCAAAGTGGATGACTCATCAGGTTGGGGCTCTTTTGCCTCCACCATGCTCTGGAGGTCCATGGAAACTTCCAGAAGCCAGTAGGCAGAAGGGTGCATATTCATGAGTGTCTGATCAATCCCAGGCTAAGAGGCACTGGTAGTGTGGTAGACTAGCCCATAAATATGAGAGAGCTATGCTAGCAGGGGAGTTGGGTGGAAGATGGATTGCTGAGAGGTGTTGCTGTGTAGCCTGGGAGGGAGCAGCAGAAAGGAGGTTCTGCTTCCAGGTTGGGGGATGGAAGCTGAGGATAATCTGAAAGGGGGAGCAAAAGTGGCCAGTATTGAAGAGGTTAACTTTCTCCCAGACATATCATTGAAAACATTCACTGCTTTCTTAAAACAAAAAGATCTGGATGGTACTCACTCGAATGTAATTGGCATTTATGTAGGAACTCAGAGGGTCGTCCTCTTGGTCTGGTGATATAAGGCACACTCTGGTTTGTGGATCTGAAAAAAGTAAAAAAACAAAACAAAACAAAAACACTGTGGTGTATTTTTTTTTAGCACTGTACTTTTTCAGCGCTGTGGTGCTGGTTTCAAATCCCATTAGGTGAATGGAGTCTTGTGTTTGATGGGGAAGCCTTTGAATGCTCTGGTTCCCCACCACCAACGATGTCAGCTGCTGTACCTGTACACCCCCCAATGGACCAGAGCAATTTGTACATTTCTGCCTTGGGCCTGTTTAATCGGTGATAACTTTGCTATTACTTTAGATAACAAAGTAATCCATACTGTACATTGTTTTTTGGAGAGATATCCTAGATTTTCTTCTGCAATCTTGTCTTGCCGAAAAGTAGGGCTTTTTTTCAGCGGGAACGCAGGGGAATGCAGTTTTGGCACCTCCAGAACCAGAACGCATGTAGTCGTGAGGGGTGGTGGAGTCTATTGTTGGCTGCTGGGAGATCTATTGTTTTTGCTGTGGGTCTTATGTTGCTGGGGGAGGGGGGGGGGTCATTTGTTGCTGGGAGGGATCTACTGTTGAGGGTGAGGTCTATTGTTGCTGGCTGCTGGAGGGTCTGTTGATGCTGGCTGCTGGGAGATCGATTGTTGCTGGTGGGGGTCTATTGTTGCTGGGGTGGATCTATTGATATGGGGGGTATTTTGTTGTGGTGAGGGTCTATTGTTGCTGGGGTGGATCTATTGATATTGGGGGGTGTATTTTGTTGTGGTGAGGGTCTATTGTTGCTGGCTGCAGGGAATCTATTTTACTTCTTTTCTTTTTATCATTAACAAATTCCGAAGAAATTACTTAGCACCACAAAATTATATTTTGGTTCTGTATTCTCTAAAAAGGGTGGTACTGAGAGTTAGGTGCAACCAAAGGACGGTGCTCGGAGGTGGGTAGGGGGTGTAACAAAAGGATGGTGCTCGGAGGTGGGTAGGGAGTGGAACCGAAGGACGGTGCTCAAAGGTGGGTAGGGGGTGGAACCAAAGGACAGTGATCGGAGGTGGGTAGGGGGTGGAAAAAAGGACAGTGATCGGAGGTGGGTAGGGGGTGGAACCAAAGGACAGTGATCGGAGGTGGGTAGAGGGTGTAACCCAAAGAACTGCGCTCAGATGTGGGTAGGGGGTGTAACCAAAGGACGGTGCTCAAAGTTGGGTAGGAGGTGGAACCAAAGGACGGTGTTCAAAGGTGGGTAGAGGGTGGAACGAAAGGATGGTGCTCAAAGGTGGGTACGGGGTGGAACCAAAGGACGGTGCTCAGAGGTGGGTAGGGGGTGGAACCAAAGGACAGTGCTCGGAGGTGGGTAGGGGGTGGAACCAAAGGATGGTGCTCAAAGGTGGGTACGGGGTGGAACCAAAGGCTGGTGCTCGGAGGTGGGTAGGGGGTGGAACCAAAGGACAGTGCTCGGAGGTGGGTAGGGGGTGGAACCAAAGGATGGTGCTCAAAGGTGGGTACAGGATGGAACCAAAGGACAGTGCTCGGAGGTGGGAAGAGGGTGGAACCAAAGGACAGTGCACGGAGGTGGGTAGGGGGGTGGAACCAAAGGACGGTGCTCAAAGGTGGGTAGGGGGCAGAATCAAAGGACGGTGCTCAAAAGTGGGTAGAGGGTGGAACCAAAGGATGGTGCCCAAAGGTAAGTACGGGATGGAACCAAAGGATGGTGCTCAGAGGTGGGTAAGGGCGGAGATAAGGGGTGACTTGGAAGGGAGAAGTACCTGCACCTATTCTCTGAGAAAAAAAGCCCTGCCAAAAAGATTTTATTTTCTATGTAATCTATAGGCATACTATCTAAATAATATAAAGACGTAAAAAAAAATTGTGAAAAAAATGCATTCTTAATAAGACTTATTGCAAAAAAAAGTAGTTTTACAGTAAAAGTATACATTTTATTCTATCATTTGAAATGACACTAAATGATGTTTCTGGTAAAGGAAAAAAAAAAACCTTTGTTTCTTGAATTCTGCACATTTTCTTTTTATGTGACACTGAAAAAAATAACAAACAAAATGAAGGAAATTAAAAAAAAAAAATGAAATATCAAACAGAAAAACAGTAATATACAGAAATAAAAATTTAAAAAATAAATTGAGGAAAATAGCTAAGGGGAGTAAGAAGTTAATTAGGGTTGATTAGGATAAAAGTTGCCAAACTCCAGACCCTGCATTCACTATATCCGTCTCCCCGGACCCTGCATTCACTATATCCGCTCTCCCCGGACCCTGCATTCACTATATCCGGTCTCCCCGGACCCTGCATTCACTATATCCGGTCTCCCCGGACACCTGCAAACTCCAGGACCCTGCATTCACTATATCGGTCTCCCTGGACCCTGCATTCACTATATCTCTTCACTATATCTGGTCTCCTGGACCCGGACCCTGCATCACTATATCTGGTCTCCCCGGACCCTGCATTCACTATATCTGGTCTCCCCCTGCATTCACGCTATATCTGGACCCTGCATTCACTATATCTGGTCTCCCCTGGACCCTGCATTCACTATATATCTTCACTATATCCGGTCTCCCTGGACCCTGCATTCACTATATCCACTCTCCCGGACCCTGCATTCACTATTCACTATATCTGGTCTCCCCGGACCCTGCATTCACTATATATCTCCCTGGACTCCCTCTGGACCCTGCATTCACTATATCCGCTCTCCCTGGACCCCGCATTCACTATATCCGGTCTCCCCGGACCCTGCATTCACTATATCCGGTCTCCCAGGACCCTGCATTCACTATATCTGATCTCTCCCACTATGGACCCTGCATTCACTATATCCGCCTTCCCTGCATTCACTATCCGCTCTCCCTGGACCCTGCATTCACTATATCCGCTCTCCCCGGACCCTGCATTCACTATATCCGCTCTCCACGGACCCTGCATTCACTATATCCGGTCTCCCCGGACTCTGCATTCACTATATCCGGTCTCCCCGGACCCTGCATTCACTATATCTGGTCTCCCGGACCATGCATTCACTATATCTGGTCTCTCCCCTGGACCCTGCATTCACTATATCCGGTCTCCCCGGACCCTGCATTCACACCCTGCATTCACTATATCTGGTCTCCCCGGACCCTGCATTCACTATATCCACTCTCCCTGGACCCTGCATTCACTATATCCGGTCTCCCCGGACCCTGCATTCACTATATCCGGTCTCCCCGGACCCTGCATTCACTATATCTGGTCTCCCCGGACCCTGCATTCACTACATCTGGTCTCCCCGGATCCTGCATTCACTATATCTGGTCTCCCCAGGACCCTGCATTCACTATATCTGGTCTCCCTGGACCCTGCATTCACTATATCTGGTCTCCCAAACCCTGCATTCACTATATCTGGTCTCCCCGGATCCCTGCATTCACTATATCCGCTCTCCCAGACCCTGCATTCACTATATCTGGTCTCCCCAGACCTCTGCATTCACTATATCTGGTCTCCCAGACCCTGCATTCACTATATCCGCTCTCCCCGGACCCTGCATTCACTATATCCGCTCTCCCGGACCCTGCATTCACTATATCTGCTCTCCCTGAACCCTGCATTCACTATATCTGGTCTCCCCTGGACCCTGCAATCACTATATCTGCTCTCCCAGGACCCTGCATTCACTATATCTGGTCTCTCCAGACCCTGCATTCACTATATCTGGTCTCCCAGGACCCTGCATTCACTATATCTGGTCTCTCCCCCGGACCCTGCATTCACTATATCTGCTCTCCCAGACCCTGCATTCACTATACCTGGTCTCCTGAACCCTGCATTCACTATATCTCCCTGTGCATTCACTCCCCGGACCCTGCATTCACTATATCCGGTCTCCCCGGACCCTGCATTCACTATATCTGGTCTCCCGGACCCTGGATTCACTATATCTGCTCCCCGGACCCTGCATTCATTATATCCGGTCTCCCCGGACCCTGCATTCACTATATCCGGTCTCCTACGGCACACAGAACGTGGAGATGCAATTTTTTTAGTAAATAAAACTGCTAAATACCTTTTCTCATCAGCAGCATATAGCAGTCTTGTGACTTCTATCAGTGCCCAGCAGAGCACTGGTTAAAGCGTGTAGGAGGAGTTTTCATTCTCCTCTGCTTGTCCTATGAGGCTTCAGGACCCCTAACCCTCTGTCTGGAAAGTGCTGATTGGCCCTGTGCTGATCACATGCACCCTCCCAAGAAAAAAAAAAAAAAAAAAAAACTTTCTAGCAATACACACCAAACTGAGCATGTGCAGAGTGTCTCCTAGAGCTCTGTAATATCAGCAGATGAATTGGGGACTGTAGAGGGAAGGGGATCAGAGAAGACAGGATCAAACAGGCTTTTTACACAATGCTGATGATTAACCCCTTAGGTTCCACAGTGCTTTACTGCATATACAGGCTGATTTTACTGTTGTGGGTTTAGTAACACTTTAAGTAGGGGACTATTCAAACCTGGCCCTACACTGACCAAAATCTGGCTGGTTCAACGGGCACTGGACGAATTTTGATCAGTGTTTGGCAGTCCTTGTTCAACAGCAATCGATCAAATGAGTTTTCATTTCCCCACAATTCTGGTATAAATCAGGAGATTTCAGTAAATTATCACCATTTTTCATTGAAGTGAACGCACAATGGGGCTTTAAAGGGCTTCTGAAGCTTCTTTCAACTATCCTGGACCTGTTCTTGTGCCAAAATATGGCCCTTTGTTAGTCTCCAAATTTTATGGTATTTTATAGAAAATAAAAAAAAACAGAAAGTGAAAAAAAGTGACAGTATTCAAAAAATAAGCACGTCAAACACACACACACAAAAAAAAAACAAACAAAACAAAAGCAAAGAATAAAAAAGAGAAATAAATCAATGAAATTAAAGTACCCTCCGCTTAAAAATTTTTTTTTTTTTTAATAAAGTAAATTATTAAAAATATTTTTTTTAGGTAACCCAATGAGAGAAATTTTAAGTTTTTGAAATTTTACAAAATTGGCTATTTTGTACCAAAATAAATTTCCCCTAATTTTCCCCCACCAGCAACAACTGACAATTTTAATACATTCTTCAGCTGGTCAGAACTTACTTGGGAGTATGGTTTTGTATCTGTTTTTTCGGACTAAGCCGAGAATTTCGTATTCCTTTGGGTCAACAAAGTTCATGGGGATCTCCTGCAAAATGATGGAATGTTAGAAATTAAAATCTGAACAGCTTTGGGATGAGAAATTCATCACCGATAAATACAATGATGGAATTGTTTGGAGCCTCTGAAACGAAACACGTCCTAAAAGCCCATAGAAGGATCGCAATCATCTATTCTTTTCCAGCAACTTGTCTGTCAAAGAGACACATTTCATAGCAGAAGGTAATTAATATTCACATATAAAAAAACGTAAAATCTCAGGATACAAAAATCGTGACACTCCAAGGCAGCCCTGATGTCCTGTGATTTTAATGAGGTATGGAAGATGTGTGGGGGATTCGGAAGAATGGGAGAGGAGAAGAGAAGAGAAGAGAGAGAAGAGAAGAGAAGAGAGAAGAGTAGAGAAGAGAAGAGAGAAGGAGAAGAGAAGAAGAGAAGAAAAGAGGAGAGGAGAAGAGAAGAAAAGAAAAGAGAAGAGAAAAGAGAGAAGAAAAGAGAAAGAGAGAAAGAGAGAAGAGAGAAGAGAAAAGAGAGAAGAGAGAAGAGAGATGAGAGAAGAGAAGAGAAGAGAAGGGGGCAGACTGACCATTTGGAAACTCGGGCACGGCCCGAGGGCCCGGGGTCAGTAGGGGGCCCCATGAGATGCCCCTGGTACCTTTTTCATAGGCTTTTTTGAGTTTGGGCAAGGACACAGGGGCCCCATGATCCCCTATTGCCCTGGGGCCCCATGAGTTGTCAGTCTGCCCCTGGCAGAAGAGAGAAAGAAAAAGAAAAGAGAAAAGAGAGAAGAGAGGAGGAGAGAAGAGAAGAGAAGAGAGGAGAGAAGAGAAGAGAAGAGAAGAGGAGAAGAGAAGAGAAGAGGAGAAGAGAAGAGAAGAGAAGAGAGAAGAGAAGAGGAGAAGAGAAGAGGAGAAGAGAAGAGAAGAGAAGAGGAAAGGAGAAGAGAAAAGAAAAGAGAAAAGAGAGAAGAGAAAAGAGAGAAGAGAGATGAGAGATGAGAGAGAAGAGAAGAGAAGGGGGTGGACTGACCATTTGGAAACTCGGGCACGGCCTGAGGGCTCGGGGTCAGTAGGGAGCCCCATGAGATGCCCCTGGTACCTTTTTCATAGGATTTTTTGAGTTTGGGCAAGGACACAGGGGCCCCATGATCCCCTATTGCCCAGGGGCCCCATGAGTTGTCAGTCCGCCCTTGGAGAAGAGAAAAGAAAAGAGAAAAGAGAGAAGAGAGAGAAGAGGAGATAAGAGAGCAGAGAAGAGGAGAGAAGAGAGCAGAGAAGAGAAGAGAAAAGAGGGAAGGGGAGGGCTGGGGAGAGAGGAAGAAGAGGGAGCAGTTGAAGGGGAAGAGAGAGGTGAGATGGGGAGGGAAGACGGTCAGTGAATAGAAGGGTAGGGAAGAGGGGAGGAGAAAGAAAGAGAGAAGATAGGAGGGGAGAGAAGAGAGGGCATAGTAGGGCTGTGGAGAGAAGAAGGAGAGGGAGTGGATGAAGGGGAAGGGAGAGGAATTAGGAAAGGGGAGGGTTGGGGAGAGAGGAGGAACAAGAAAGGAGGGGGGAAGAAATGATGGGAGAGAAGAGAATTGAAAGGAGAGCAGAGGAGTGGGGATGAGTGGTTGGGGAACCAGATGGAAGGGGAAAGGATAAAAGAGGGGAAGGCGAGGAGAGGATAGAAGAGGGTGGGATGGGGGATGAATAAGGGGGGAAGGTTAGTGGTGAAAAAGAGGAGAGGGAATTGCGTAGAGGCGAGGGGAAGAGAGGAGAGGGAAGAGAGGAGAGAGAAGTGGGGAAGAGAGGAGAGAGAAGGGGGAAGAGAGAGAGAGGGGAAGGGGGGAAGAGAGAAGAGGGGAAGAGAGAAGAGGGGAAGAGAGAAGAAGGAAGAGGAGAGAGGAAGAGAGAAGAGGGGAAGAGAGAGGAGGGGAAGAGAGAAGAGGGGAAGAGAGAGAAGAGGGGAAGAGAGGAGAGAGGGAGAGAGAAGATGAGAAGAGAGGAGAAAGGAAGAATGAGGGGGGAAAGAGAAGGGACAGAAAAAAGGGAACAGGAGAATAGAGTAAAGGTAGTGAGGAGAGAAGAGGGAAGGAAGGAAGATGGACAGAAGAAAGGTGGGCAGAGACAAGGGATGGAGTGGGAAGCAGAGAGGAGACGGGTAGGACAGGAGGGGGCAGAACAGGGGAGTGCAGGGAAGATTGGAGGATATGGCAGGAAATGAAAGGGGAGAAGGGCAGAAGAGAGCAGAGAAGAGCAGGTAAAGCAGGAGAAACAGGTCAGAACATGGGATGGCAAGACAGGAGGGTGGAAGAGATGGGAGGGTCAAGAAGGGCAGAGGAGAGACAAATGAGAGGAAGGTAGGAGAGGAGGGGGGATCATGGAAGAGGGGAAAGAAGGCAGGAAACGGGAGGATGGTAGAGGAGAGCGGGGAGAAGAGGGGAGGGAAAGAGAGGAAGGCAGAAGAAGTAGGGAGAGAGTGGGGAAGAGAAGAAGGGAAAAGAAGGCAGGAAATGGGAGGACAGTAGAAGAGGGCAGAATATAGAATAGGGTAGAGGAGGGCAGAGAAGAGGAGGGCAGGGCAAGAAGAAGAACAGACAGTAGGAGAGGAAGGTAGGGCAGGGTAGAGTTGAAGAGGAAAGAAGAAAAGAAGGGAGCAGAGGTGGGGGAGGACAGAAATGAAGAGGGGAGGAAAGCAGAACAGAGGGAGAAGAGGAGAGATGGAAAGGACATATTTTGGCGTGGACAAACATTTCAGCATTACTGTTGATATTCTATGAATGGACTTACAAAGAAACTCCTTCTGAAGAGTAAAAGAGTCCAGGCTTTCTCGTGTAGGTCATCGGGGGTGTGAGGATGCTCCCGGCAGTTTGGAGATATTCCCGGGTGGACTGCTCCCTGGGTGACATGATATGTCCGTAGGGCTCTGTGCATCCGGGTGTGCACATGTCTAGGGTCAGGGACACGTTGGAGCCACGCCTGCAGAATACATAAAGAACACAATACCTAAAGACCCAATAGCCTACATCACATACAATACTATACTGTATACAGTGGCGTCCCTAGGCAGGTGCGGGGGGTGCGCGCCGCACCGGGTGACACCTACCGCACGGGGTGACACCGGACCCGCTCCACGAAAAGGTAAGTAGTAAAGCAAGCCGACGATCCCCACAGGATGGATCGGATCTGCGGATTGTGCATAATAGATCGGAGTCCGATCCATTATGCTCAATCCACAGATCCGATCCATTCTGCAGGGATCGTCGGAGGGGGTGTCACCAAGTGTTACCGTACCGGGTGACACCAACCCTAGGGACACCCGACTGTATAATAAATATTGAACATTACATTTATGTACTTATTGTACGTCACTATCACCAACATGCACATTTGCTATACGGACTGCTGCTATGTGGCACCAACAATTGTAGGCTAGAAAGAGGCTCAGCTAGTCTTAGATCTAAACCAAATTGTCATTTCCAGGATTCTCATGACCTTATTACTAATATTTTCAGTTGTTTCACAGTTTCCATAAAAAATAGGCATGATGGTAGAAGAAGCTATCGCTGAGTTTGCATCAAATCCAAACCTGGTTTGACCACCTGGTGGCAATTTTTATATTTTTCACATTTTCGCATTTATTTGCTACACAATTACTAATAACCCCAAACATTATTTATTTTCTAAAAGCAGAGGCCCCAGAGAATAAAATTGCTGTTGCAATTTTGTATGTCACATGATATTATTATTATACAGGATTTATATCGCGCCAACAGTTTGCTCAGCGCTTTACAATATAACGGGAGACAATACAGCAACAATACAGTTCAATACAAGAGGGTTAGGAGCAGGGGCGGACTGACAACTCATGGGGCCCCCGGGCAATAGGGGATCATGGGGCCCCTGTGTCCTCACCCACACTCAAACCACACCCAAAAAAGCCTATCAAAGGTACCAGGGGCATCTCATGGGGCCCCCTACTGACCCTGGGCCCTCGGGCAGTGCCCGAGTTTCCAAATGGTCAGTCCGCCCCTGGTTAGGAGGGCCTGATCCTTGGAGCTTACAATCTAGGATGTATCTGCAGCCATTTATCAAACGGAAGTTTTTAGTATAAAAGTACATTCACGTGAATTTTAGTGCAACATAAAACAATACATTTTTTTGGTACAATATAAAAGATGATGTTGCATCAAGTAAATAGATACCAAACGTGTCAAGATTTAAAATGTGTGTGCAAATCCATGAAATGGCGACAAGCTACAGTACCTAAAATGGCCTATAGGTGACACTTTAAAAGCCTTTACCGGTTATCAGTTTGGAGTTAATTGCGAATTATGGCCTGAGAATGATTGCTCTCACTTAGACATTTGTGGTGATACCTCATATGTGTGTGTTTGCATTTAGTGTATGAGCAGGAGACTTGTTGTGGTAGCAATAAAGTTAGATTAAAAAAGTGTAAAAAATACATTTAAATTAAATAAAAATAATTGTATACATTTAAAAAAAAAATAAAAAAAAATATATATATATATATATATATACACACACATATATATACAGTGTATATATATATATATATATATATACTTAGGGACTGATGTGAATGTACAATATACATGTAAAGCGATGCGTAAATTGACGGAGCTATATAAGTACCTGAAATAAATAAATAAATATATACACATACACACATATATATATATGTATGTGTATATATATATATATATATATGTATGTATGTGAGTATATATTTATATATATATATATATATATATATATATATATATTGAATACGGACAAAATTGTAGTATTTCACATATATGGCAATATATTTGGGAAGAATATTTTAAAAATATATTTTTCTTCCATGTGAGTACATATGTCAGTCAGCATGTGGTTAAGGGACCTGCAATACCTAGATTTTGTCATTGCCCATCACTTTCTGCCCTGGAGTCAATAGTTACTGGGGCAGATATTAAGGGTTAGGTTTCCCCACCAGGGATTCTACCCGTCACCCAACTGGAGAATTGTAATTGCAGGATTGAATTTATTCCAAATATCGTAGTGCACAATCTGAATGATCTTAGATTGTATGCCCCTTGAGGGTTAGGGACCTTAGATTGTACGCTCCTCAGGGGCGGGGACTGATGTGAATGTACAATATATATGTAAAGCGCTGCGTAAATTGACGGCGCTATATAAGTACCTGAAATAAATAAATAAATATACACATACACACACACATACATATATATATATATATATATATATACACACATATATATATATTTATATATAATATGTATATATATATATATATATATATATATATATATATATATGTGTATATATATATATATATATATATGTGTGTATATATATATATATATATATATATATGTATGTGAGTATATATTTATATATATATATTGAATATGGACAAAATTGTAGTATTTCACATATATGGCAATATATTTGGGAAGAGTATTTTAAAAATATATTTAAAATATATTTTTCTTCCATGTGAGTACATATGTCAGTCAGCATGTGGTTAAGGGACCTGCAATACCTAGATTTTGTCATTGCCCATCACTTTCTGCCCTGTAGACAATAGTTACTGGGGCAAATATTAAGGGTTAGGTTTCCCTACCAGGGATTCTACCCCTCATCCAACTGCAGTATTGTAATTGCAGGATTGAATTTATTCCAAATATCCTAGTGCACAAATCTGAATGATCTTAGATTGTACGCCCCTTGAGGGTTAGGGACCTTAGATTGTACGCTCCTCAGGGGCGGGGACTGATGTGAATGCTGCGTAAATTCCAAGTCACCCCTTATTGTAAAGCACTGTGTAAATTGACGGCGCTATATAAGTACCTGAAATAAATAATAATAAATAATGATCGTTTTCCGGTTGAACGTCTCTTGTTGAAAAAACTAAACAATCTCTATCTCCTATCCAAAATAAAGATATCACCTTTCCTGGAGGCCCACAGGTTTGACGCTGAGCGTGCCTTGGTCCATATCACCCCTAATATCCATCAGACAATCGAAAACGGGGGTGTCCGGGATGGGCTCAAAATCCATGAAGTCCTCGATTTTGTCATCCGTCCACTCGGAGTAAGTGAAGGAGGGCTGCCGGCTCACGGATTGACGCCGATCGTCCGAAAGGACCGGTTCACTGTGCGACTTCAGATACCATACCTTAAACCATAAAAAGGAAACAAAAAAAAAATGTATCAAACCGTAAAGAAACCCCCTTGTATCGCCCCTTTTGTTAGCAGGCAAAGCGGTGATTGTTGATGCGCTTGTGGATGCGGCAGGAAGAATCTTTGGCCCGGAACAGCCAGTGTTTTCCCGTGTGTTCCACATTCCTATTGTCTGATTGTGTTTTAGCCTTGTGAGGTCTGACATGTTTCAGCTGGTGAAAGCGATTGCAGGGGAACAGTGTGGAAACAGTCAGTGCTCAGTATTGTGACGCTGTGATGTCAAGTCCCTTTGTTGAGCGAGAGTGAGAGAAAAATGTGCCGCTGATAATAAGGTGTCCTTGAATTGTTTTCCAGCAGCGGTGTACCTCTATCCTACAAGCAACCTGGGTTTATCTTGATGATGAGGAACTAAAGTCCCAGCCTGTTAAAAAAAAAAAAAAAGACCAAATCTAAGGCTTGGGGGCCAATCGCACCTTTGCTGTGTGCTTACATGCGTTAGCGCATTACGGTGACAATTATTTTGAATGGCACCCCAATGCACTGATGGCAATGCAGATCCAATGTTGCATTTTGGGGTGCTGGGGTGTCCATTGTTTGATGCACTGTTAGCCCATTTATTTTAATGAGCTACCTTAAAGTCATTGTAAACCTCTGAAATATAAATGAACAAAGCAGATTCCTCTATAGTGTGCACTAGCCTCAATCCAAAGCACTTGGGTGCTCCCCTACAAAGTGTGGTTCCTACCTGCTCTCCCTTCTCTCTGCTATCTGCATGAGTGACTTCTGTGATTGACAGCCTCAGCTGTGCGTGTTTCCCTATGAGATTTTGTAGAGGGGAATGGGTGCATTCCCTCCGCTCAGGTCTCAGATTACACTCAGCTCCCTGCTCTGTGCTATCTGCATGAGTGACTTCTGTGATGGACAGCCTCAGCTGTGCATGTTTCCCTATGAGATTTTGTAGAGGGGAATGGGTGCATTCCCTCCGCTCAGGTCTCAGATTACACTCAGCTTCCTGCTCTGTGCTATCTGCATGAGTGCCTTCTGTGACTGACAGCCTCAGCTGTGCATGTTTCCCTATGAGATTTTGTAGAGGGGAACAGGTGCATTCCCTCTGCTCAGGTCTCAGATTACACTCAGCTCCCTGCTCTGTGCTATCTGCATGAGTGCCTTCTGTGACTGACAGTCTCAGCTGTGCATGTTTCCCTATGAGATTTTGTAGAGGGGAACAGGTGCTTTCCCTCTGCTCAGGTCTCAGATTACTCTCAGCTCCCTGCTCTGTGCTATCTGCATGAGTGACTTCTGTGCCTCAGCTGTGCATGTTTCCCTATGAGATTTTGTAGAGAGGGAATGGGTCCATTCCCTCCGCTCAGGTCTCAGATTACACTCAGCTTCCTGCTCTGTGCTATCTGCATGAGTGCCTTCTGTGACTGACAGCCTCAGCTGTGCATGTTTCCCTATGAGATTTTGTAGAGGGGAACAGGTGCATTCCCTCTGCTCAGGTCTCAGATTACACTCAGCTCCCTGCTCTGTGCTATCTGCATGAGTGCCTTCTGTGACTGACAGTCTCAGCTGTGCATGTTTCCCTATGAGATTTTGTAGAGGGGAACAGGTGCTTTCCCTCTGCTCAGGTCTCAGATTACTCTCAGCTCCCTGCTCTGTGCTATCTGCATGAGTGACTTCTGTGCCTCAGCTGTGCATGTTTCCCTATGAGATTTTGTAGAGGGGAATGGGTCCATTCCCTCCGCTCAGGTCTCAGATTACACTCAGCTTCCTGCTCTGTGCTATCTGCATGAGTGACTTCTGTGATTGACAGCCTCAGCTGTGCGTGTTTCCCTATGAGATTTTGTAGAGGGGAATGGGTGCATTCCCTGCGCTCAGGTCTCAGATTACACTCAGCTCCCTGCACTGTGCTATCTGTGTGGGTGACTTCTGTGATGGACGACGTGTTCTCTGGAGCAACCAATCACGCTTCTCTGCCAAAATTGTGGCATTTAAATATATGTCAATATATTTGGGAAGAATATTTTTAAAATATATTTCAAATATATTTTTCTTCCATGTGGGTGGTATTGTTGGTACTTGCATGCTATCCCATGACCCCACCCTATAAACTCATATTAGCCCACCAGCATGATGGCCAGTCTCACCAGAAGACAGGAAAAGATAATGCCATGAAATATATTTTAAATAGATTTTTCTTCCATGTGGGCAGTAAGTGTTAAAACCTAGCCCAGTTAGAGGGTTCAATGTTTAGAAAGAACAGGGGCACTAAAAGGTTCGTAGGCACCTGGCCATCACACCTATGCTCACCGGCCACTTTATTAGGTTCACCTGTTCAATTCCTTGGCAGCACAAATTGCTAATCAGCAAATCAGATGGCAGCAACTCAATGTATTTAGGCATCTAGATGTGGTGAAGACGACTTGCTGAAGTTCAAACCGAGCATCAGAATGGGGAAGAAAAGGGATTCTTCAGACAACTTGCTGAAGTTCAAACCGAGCATCAGAATGGGGAAGAAAAGGGATTCTTCAGACAACTTGCTGAAGTTCAAACCGAGCATCAGAATGGGGAAGAAAAGGGATTTCTCAGACGATTTGCTGAAGTTCAAAAGAGCAACAGAATGGGGAAGAAAAGGGATTCTTCAGACGACTTGCTGAAGTTCAAACTGAGCATCAGAATGGGGAAGAAAAGGGATTCTTCAGACGATTTGCTGAAGTTCAAAAGAGCAACAGAATGGGGAAGAAAAGGGATTCTTCAGACGATTTGCTGAAGTTCAAACCGAGCATCAGAATGGGGAAGAAAAGGGATTCTTCAGACGACTTGCTGAAGTTCAAAACCGAGCATCAGAATGGGGAAGAAAAGGGATTCTTCAGACGATTTGCTGAAGTTCAAACCGAGCATCAGAATGGGGAAGAAAAGGGATTCTTCAGACGACTTGCTGAAGTTCAAACCGAGCATCAGAATGGGGAAGAAAAGGGATTCTTCAGACGACTTGCTGAAGTTCAAACCGAGCAACAGAATGGGGAAGAAAACTGACTTTGAACATGGCATGGTTGTTGGTTTTTAATTGTTCTAATCCACCTGGACCAACAAATATATGATACAAAAGAATTCCGAAAACAAATCGGGTCAACAAAACGAATACATCCAAAATGAAATTCTTCAATGAACGACTGCATCGGAAATTAAATTCGAATTTCTGGCGAGAAAATGTCTACAGACCACTCAAGCTCCTCCACACCAAATTCATCAATCAGTGTCTTTATGGAGCTGGCTTTGCACACCAGGCACACAAGTCATGGTGGATACCAAAAAGGGTCTTCACCAAATGGTTACCACAAGGAAGGAAGAGCTCAATTGTCTATAATCTCCTTGTATGTTGGGGTATTAACCGTACCCATCACCGGAAACAACTGAACTCCATCATGTGAAAGGGTTGTCATGTATGGCCGTATATTGTATGTGCGGGCAACTCCAACTTTTTTATCATTTTTAACCACTTGCCGCCCAGCCACTGTACATATACGGCGGCAGGGCGGCACTCGCAGGCAAAACCACGTTTTAAAACTTGTGTTTTGTAAACAAATAGGGGGCGCACGCGAGGCGCGCCGCTGCCCTATCTGTCCCGCGGATCACCGCCGCAGATGTCAGTTGCCGGCTCACAGCCGCTCCTTAGCGGCTATGTCCCGGCGATCGGCGGCAAACAGTGACAGACAGCACAGCTGCAGTAGCTGTGCTGTCTGTCAGTTCCCTGTCAGCTCGAGGATGAGCTGATCGAGAAAGAACAGTTTCTCTTTCTCGATCAGCCTTGTCCCGCCCAGTACACACCCCGCCCCCTAGTAAAACACTCCCCTCACTCCTATAACCCTTCCCTGCAAAATAAAGTTAACCCCTTCCTCCCCAGTGCCATTAGTACAGTGTCAGTGTTTTTTTTTTTGCACTAATCACTGTATTAGCGTTTTTGGGGATGTCAGTGACCCCAAGTCAGTACCCCCCAATTTCAGAATGTCCGCCGCAGTCCCGCAGTCCCTCCATAAGTTGCTGGTCGCTGCCATAAGTCACTGATCGCCGCCATAATTCGCTGATCGCCGCCATTATTGGTATAAAAAAAACCCCAAAAATCCCAGTATCTTTCCCGCCATTTGTAAACGCTATAACTTTCACGTAAACCAATTAATTTACACATATTGTTTTTTTTTTTTTAGCAAAGACATGTCGCAGAATGCATTTTGGCAGAAATTTATGACTAAATTTGATTTTTGCATTTTTTTTTTACTGGACATGTTTCATAGCAAAAAGTCCAAAATATTGTTTTTTTTTTCCTCAAAATTGTCAGCCTTTTGTTTTTTATAGCGCAAAAAATAAAAAACCGCACAGGCGATCAAATACCACCGAAAGAAAGCTCAATTTGTGATAAAAAAAGGATGTAAATTTCATTTATGTACCATATTGCATGACCGCGCAATTGTCCGTTAAACTAGCGCAGCGCTGTATAGCAGAAAAATGGTGTAAATTGCAGTATTTATACCATAGTTTGTAGACGCTATAACTGTCACACAAAGCAATCAATATACACTTATTGGGATTTTTTTTACCAAAAACATGGAGCAGAATACATTTTGGCCTAAATTTATAACCAACTTTGAGTTTACTACTTATTTTTTAAAAGCTGAAAGTAAAAAATATTGTTTTTCTTCAAAATTTTTGGCCTTTTTTTGTTTATAGCGCGAAAAATAAAAAGCGCACAGGTGATCAAATTACACCGAAAGAAAGCTCTATTTGTGTGAAAAAAAGGACGTAAATTTTGTTTGGGTGGAGCATTGCATGACCGCGCAATTATCAGTTGAATTAGTGCAGCGCCGAGTAGCAAAAAGAGGCGTGGTCATTAAGGGGGGTAAATCCTCAGGAGCTCAAGTGGTTAAAGGTACAGTGATTTACATTTTTAATAATATCCCTCTGTTCTCGATATTGGCCATTAAAGGTTTTTTGGACGTGTTTGGAAAGTTTTGGTTGGCCGACCAAAAACCTAACCCAGTTAGAGGGTTCAATGTTTAGAAAGAACAGGGGCACTAAAAGGTTCGTAGGCACCTGGCCATCACACCTACGCTCACCGGCCACTTTATTAGGTCCATGTGTTCAACTGCTTGGCAACACAAATTGCTAATCAGCCAATCACATGGCAGCAACTCAATCGATGTTGGCCATTAAAGGTTTTTGGAAGTGTTGGGAAAGTTTTGGTTGGCCGACCAAGTTTTCAAGGTCTGAGTCTTTCTATCCATCGTGATGACAGTATGACCGTGTGTGGGTGTATCTGGTGCCGATGGCCTTGACACTAGAATACATTTATGGCTCACCATGGTACCGATGAGGGCCGCCACAAAGAAGATGATCACCAACACAAAACCAGACATCTCGATTTTCCAAAATCCATTTTGCAAGGTTGTTAGATCCTAAGAAAATAAATAACAAAAAATAAAAAAATTAAAGCATAACTAAACCCAAAAAATTATAGCTTACCATCAGTGGACGCGGCGGCTGCATTCGTTTTTTTTTTTTTTTTCCAAGGTTTTATTACTTTACTTTCATGTGGTGATCGGCCAATAACACATTTCCTGACTTAGTCTAGGTTCACACCTAGGCAGGTTGCGTTTGAGGCATTTCTGCGTTGCATTTTTAATGTGTTTTTTGCCACGTTTTTAATGCGTTTTTCATTTTTAAAAATGTTTCTTGTTGCTAGGCAGATTTTAAATGCAAAAGGCATCAAAAACGTGGCAAAAATGCAGCAAAAATGTAGCAAAAACGCAATACACGCTTTTCTGCAGCGTGCCCATTGAAGTCTATAGAACCCAAAACGCAACGTTTTGCGTTCAAGAAAGTCCCTGACCCTTTCCAAAAAACATACCGGGTGAAAACGCAGAGATGTGTGACGTGTCCCATAGGAAATCATGTTAAATGGATTGTACTGCAAACAGGGGCGGACTGACCATTCAGGCACTAAGGCACTGCCCGAGGGACCTGGGTCAGTAGGGGGCCCCATGAGATGCCCCTAGTACCTTTCATAGGATTTTTTGGGCGTGATTTTGAGTGTGGGTGAGGACACAGGGGCCCCATGATCCCTTATTGCCCAGGGGCCCCATGAGTTGTCAGTCCGCCCCTGACTGCAAAAAGCAAAACGCTGCAGAAAACACTTAGGTGTGAACCAAGGGTAAGGCTCCATTCACACCAATACGTTTTTTAGTGCTTTTTGCTTTTTACATAAATGCACTACAGTCCATTAAACACAGCTTCCTATGGAACATGTTCACATCGATGCTTTTTTGAGCCGCTGCGTTTTTGGAACAGATCAGGGACTTCTTTAAAACCAAAAAGCAGCGTTTCAATGGAGAATCTGCTGAAATGCATGGTGGTGCATTTTTGGCACATTTTGCATTTTCCATTTTTATTCTGCCCAGCAAAAAAAAAAAAAATTCCATTAAAAAAAAAAGAAAGAGCTGAACAAAAATGCAAAATGCTGTAAAAACGTGTCAAAAATGCGTGTAGAAAACCGCAAAACGAACTGCAAAATGGACAAAAAGGAAACTTCCTAGGTGCCCACATGGGAGAAAAATATATTTTAAATATATTTTAAGAATATTCTTCCCAAATATATTGACATATATTTGAAATACTACAATTTGGGCCATATTCAATATATTTAAAAATCTATTTCAAAATCTACATATATTACATATATAAATATTTTAACATGCAGTATGTATAATACACATTACTGGAACCGATCCCCTGTATGGTTTCCTCTGCAGCGGCTGAAAGCCAGCGGGAGGGAGAGGAGAAGAATCCGGCTTTCAGCTGCTGCAGAGAGAGCCATACAGGGGATCGGTTCCAGTGATCCTCCCTCGCGGTGCCGATCACCCTCAGAAGGAAGCCGAAAGTACTGTGGGGGTGGGGGCACGCAGCAGATTCTGGGTAGGAGGAGGAAATGTATGGTGCACAGGGAGGATCATGGATGTGGTGTGTGGGGGGGGGGGAATTACTGGAACCGATCCCCTGTATGGCTTCCTCTGCAGCGGCTGAAAGACAGCGAGAGGGAAAGGAGAAGAAGCCGTCTTTCAGCTGCTGCAGAGAGAGCCATTCAGGGGATCGGTTCCAGTAATTCTCCCTTGCGGTGCTGATCACCCTCGGAGGGAAGCCGAAAGTACTGTGGGGGTGGGGGCACACAGCAGATTCTGGGTAGAAGGGGGAAATGTATAGTGCACAGGTAAGGTCATGGGTGTGGCAGGGGGTGGGCAATTACTGTAACCGATCCTCTTTATGGCCTTCTCTGCAGCAGCTGAAAGCCAGCGAGAGGGAGAGGAGAAGAAGCTGGCTTTCAGCTGCTGCAGAGAGAGCCATACAGGGAATCGGTTCCAGTAATCCTCCCTTGCGGTGCTGATCACCCTCGGAGGGAAGCCGAAAGTACTGTGGGGGTGGGGGCACACAGCAGATTCTGGGTAGAAGGGGGAAATGTATAGTGCACAGGTAAGGTCATGGGTGTGGCAGGGGGTGGGCAATTACTGTAACCGATCCTCTTTATGGCCTTCTCTGCAGCAGCTGAAAGCCAGCGAGAGGGAGAGGAGAAGAAGCTGGCTTTCAGCTGCTGCAGAGAGAGCCATACAGGGAATCGGTTCCAGTAATCCTCCCTTGCGGTGCTGATCACCCTCGGAGGGAAGCCGAAAGTACTGTGGGGGTGGGGGCACACAGCAGATTCTGGGTAGGAGGGGGAAATGTATGCTGCACAGGGAGGGTCGTGGGTGTGTCGGGGGATGGGCAATTACTGTACCCGATCCCCTGCATTGCCTTCCTCTGCAGTGGCTGAAAGCCAGCGGGAGGGAGAGGAGAAGAAGCCAGCATTCAGCTGCTGCAGAGAGAGCTATACAGGGGATCGGTTCCAGTAATCCTCCCTCGCTGTGCCGATCACCCTCGGAGGGAAGCCGGAAGTACTGTGTGGGTGGTGGGTACACAGCAGATTCTCGGTAGGAGTGGGAAATGTATGGTGCACAGGGAGGATCATGGGTGTGGCAGGCGGCAGGCGGGGGGGGGCAATTACTGGAACCGATCCCCTGTAGCGGCTGAAAGCCAGTGGGAGGGAGAGGAGAAGAAGCCGGCTTTCAGCTGCTGCAGAGAGAGCCATACAGTGGATTGGATGCAGTAATTGCCCCCAGTCACCCTCTCTGCCCACATCTGATTCACCCAGGGCCCTCCTGCTGGCCTGGGCCCCATACAAGAGGACTGGCGGTACCCTCTTATCCACAGCCCTGGGTTCCAGACAAACAAGGTTGAAGGCAGGATCATTCAAGGAATTATCCAGGGAGCTGTCCAGCAGCCCAGGTTTCTCTACAAGAAGAGACATCAGCAGACACAGCAGAGGTTGTAGGTTCTGAGCCGGTCCTGCAAGGTTCTCTGAAACTGATACCACCAGAGATTGTGACAACTGAGCTTTTTTATGTTCAAGTAAGCACTATCACTTTGCCTTATCCACGGCCCCGGCTATACTGCCCAGATGAAAGCACAACATAGTCCTCTCCACGATTACCCCCTCCCCCGATGTACAGCGCATAATTGATAATTGAAGCTGACCTGGAACAATGTATTACCTGGGGCGAGAGGTGGACGGCTCCACACAAATGACATCAATCAGCCCTCGCAGGTCAGGATCTGATCTTGTTTGAATCTCAGGTTGCCTTAGAGGCTCTCCAGATGGTCTATTTGTAAATCTCATTTCGAATCTTCTGGAAAATGATACGGCTTTTCTGCCCCCCCCTCCCCCCCATTTCACCGCGGAATCTCTCCACCGCTGCTAATGGCGGCGTAGTCTTACATTCCCGTAAGTGAATTACATGGCGGCAGAGCCGGGCTTCGCTCACGTGCAGCACAGCTGTTGGGCTGATTTCCCAGAAGTCTGGACTAAATGACATTGTTTCATTACAGACACGCAGTCATAGTAGAAGAGACCGCAGCGTGGTGGAGACGAAGGGGATCGCCCGCGCCAGCAGGTGCGCGTCATGGGTCATACGACGCGTGCGGGAACGCGGTGGGTTGTTACAGCGAATCGCAGCATTTGCAGGCGTACCTCGGTTTACGGATGCCTCGGTTGACGTCATTTTCGGTTTATGAAGGAAAATTCATTGAAAATAATGCCTCGGGTTACAAATTTTTACGAATTTTTTTCGCAATATGAAGTGTATGTCGGTGCCAATTTTTAAATGCAATTGCTGACTTTTTTTTTTCTTCACTCTAGCTCACAGAATTAGCTAAAGGAAACTTTGTTTCTTTCAACTCGGGGAAACAAACTAAAAGGAAACATTGTTTCTTTCAACTCGGGGAAACAAAAACTAAAAAGAAACATTGTTTCTTTTAGCTCGGGGAAATAAACTAAAAGGAAACTTTGTTTCTTTCAACTCGGGGAAACAAACTAAAATGAAACTTTGTTTCTTTTAACTCGGGGAAATAAATGAAAATGAAACTTTGTTTCTTTTAAGTCGGGGAAATAAACTAAAAGGAAACATTGTTTCTTTTAACTCAGGGAAATAAACTGAAAGGATTCTTTTAACTTGGGAAATAAACTAAAAGGAAACTTTGCTTCTTTTAACTCAGGGAATATACTAAAAGGAAACCTTGTTTCTTTTAACTCAGGGAAACAAACTAAAAGGAAACTTTGTTGGGAATATACTAAAAGGAAACTTTGTTTCTTTTAACTCGGGGAAACAAACTAAAAGGAAACTTTGTTTCTTTTAACTCAGGGAAATAAACTAAAAGGAAACTTTGTTTCTTTCAACTCGGGGAAACAAACTTAAAAGAAACATTGTTTCTTTTAGCTCGAGGAAATAAACTAAAAGGAAACTTTGTTTCTTTTTAACTCGGGGAAATAAATTAAAATGAAACTTTGTTTCTTTTAACTCGGGGAAATGAACTAAAAGGAAACATTGTTTCTTTTAACTCCAGGAAATAAACTAAAAGGAAACTTTGTTTCTTTAAACTGAGGGGAAAATGACAGCTGATTCTCTAAGCTATAGTGAAGAAACAAAAAAAATCCGGTAATTACATTTAAAAACCAGCACTGACCTATGGTGACAGCAACTTTTTAAAACTTTTTTCTAACCTCCGGAACGGATTAATTGGTTTTCAATGCATTCCGATGGGTTTCGGTTTGGTGACATAGTGACATGGTGACATAGTTAGTCTGGCTGAAAAAACAAAAGTCCATCCAGTGCAACCATTAAAAAAAAAAAGTTATAATCCTACACTCACAGTTGATTAACTCGGGGAAATAAATGAAAATGAAACTTTGTTTCTTTTAACTCGGGGAAATAAACTAAAAGGAAAAATTTTTTCTTTTAACTCGGGGAAGTAAAATAAAAGGAAACATTGTTTC